TGGTGATTGGGACGTTCCTGTCAGCACTCGTCATGTTTGTGTCGGCGAAAATGGTGACGCTGACGAACGTTGTGCCGCAAGACTATGCTGTCGAATTGAATGGGTTCCTGTTCAACGTGGCGGCTCTCGGAGCGATTTCTTGCGCCGCCGTCGTCGTGGTTTTTTCGCTGACGAGGAAATGGCAGAAAATGCCGCACTTCGTCACCCTGTGCTTGGCCTTGTCGCAGGTGCAATATTACTTGCTCCTATGTTTGATTACGTGACACAATGTATAGGGTTTTAGTTAGTTTCTTTGTAAAGACACGCACGAACTACAGGATCTCACTCGATGCCCCCCCCTTTTTTTTAGAAGAGAATTTAAAATTACTGTATAGTAGTTGATATTCTAAAAACCCTTTTTTCAACTTGAAAGCGGAATTTCGGGCCTAGTTCATGATTTTTTCCCCCGGTAAATTAAGAGTTTTTTTTATTTTTAAAGGATGCTTGAGAGGCTAATGAGAGATCGTTTTATTGTTATGTAATGTCTGATCGTAACACGCGTATTTGAAATATGCTTAAAATTTCGTGAACTAAAGTTTTAAAATTTTTCATTTGCACTACAATATATGCTTGTTGAACAAACTTCTAGGCATCAAGATTTTAAAGTTCTGTTTCATGGGATTGTAATTGAAGTTTATAAGTTCTTTTCTGATTTTCTATTGAATTTTTAATGTAGTAATCTGAATTCAGCAAATTTTTGGGATGCTAATTGTGCATTCATTTACTCTGGAAATGGTTGTATTCGAACTATGGATGATCACTATTTTTTTACCATTTCTTTATGAACAACATTTTTTCTTGTTAGGAACGAATTTTGTTTTCTTTATAGACCGTTTCGGTCTTGAGTGTGGGAACTTGTCTTCAGAAAACAAAAATTTCAAGGGAAAATATTTTTCTTTTCGATGATATGCGAATTTTTGAAGGCAGAACTTTACTCGCGTAATACCCTCGTGACATTGAGTTTTTCTCGAGAGAAAAAAAAAACGAAAAATGGGAAATTTATGAGTGTTTAATCGTGTTGAATAGATGATGGCTTGTGTTGGAGTACTGACTTGGGCTTTAGTGGACTCGGATCATCAGTGGAAGCTGTATCTTCAATTCTTCATCTTTTCTTGGGGAGTTTTTGCTTCCAGAATATGGACAGCTTTGTTGGCTGTCACTCTGGTCTTCATGCGGATCAGAAGCTTGAGAGATAGTCTGAAATTGCGTCGCTATTTGCCCATAATCGGATGGGGGTGAGTCTTTTCTTCAGAAAAGGTTTCGTTGAATCCATTATTATTTATCATTTTAAAGAAATATTATTGAATAAACCCAAGAATGAAATATAAACAAGGAGATTAGGAACTGCATCATTCAACATGTCGCATTTACTCGATTATAAGACACCCTTCTTTCAAAAACCGAATTTAAAAATGTATGCGTTTCTTGTGTTTAATTGCATTGCACATTTTATGGTTATTCAGTTTTTGTTGAAAAAAGTTTATCACACCGTCATCTGAACACCACAATTCTTCAATTAAAAATGGTCTAAATATCTGAAATACATGGCAGGAAATCCATGAGATAAATTCAAATAAAAAAAATGCACCGAGAATCGGAATCTTGAGCTCGTAACAAAAGTACGTTCAAAAACGTCGTTTATTTGGAATTCAATTAATAATACTATGTGAAAGAAAGTGACCTCTTGTATGATTGGAAATATAATTATTTTACTTTTTAGTCATAAAAATAGAGGTGCAAATTTCCTGGAGTCGAAGACAAAATTGTTTAAATTTTGTGAAGTAAGCAGAGGTAAATTTTATATGCGTAAGCTTTTTTATTGAGGAAAAATATTCGAACGGGAAAGTAGTATACTGTATTTCCTCCTTCGAATGGCTCAATTTATCAGCACTTTATAATTTCTCAAGAAATAGAAGAGGCGCTTTTTAAACCAAAAATACTCCTGCAGTAACATCTGTTCATTCATTGGCGACGATGATGCATAATAAAACTGATTTGATTTTTCCTGAAGTTTTATTTCAACTTCAACCGAAAAAAAACAACGTTTGAATGCAAGCACTGAACTTAATCGTCAAATATTTATTGGTTCATCTTAAATTTCAGACTTCCTGCGATCATAGTCGGCATTTTGTTGGGGATTGTGGCGGGGAAGTCGGATATGAACCTTGGAACCCAACCAGACCCGACTTTCCATTACAGCCCAGTCCAAGCAATTGCTTCTCTCGTTGTGCTCTCAACTTGTTTCCTCGTCACACTGTTGTGTCTCATCTTGCAACAGCGACTCAAAAGGCTGTCAGCTGAGCAAAAGATCAGTTGGAACGTCTACGAAGAGTTGTACTACGAAGGAAGCGTCAGCATGTCCGAGATGGGCGACGATTATGCGGGAAGCCTGG